TCTGTTTCTGAAGACCTGGCCGTCACCTTTCTTAGTGAACAGGAGTTGTAGAGAAAAATGTCAGCCAGAAGGAAGAAAGAAGGATGTTCCAGGGTGAAACATGAGCCCTGGGCCACACTCCAAGGGCTGGCCTTTTAAGCTGTTATCACCAAGCCAGTGCCTCCAGCAGGGAAGCTCTCAGAATGAACAGAGACTAGATTTTATGCCAGAAGGAGTTCCCTCTTGGGACTCAGGGGGCAGAGTAGAGAGAAAGAAGAGAACACCAGTCTTGTCTGATGGACACATGACCAGACTTCCTGTGCATGGGGTGGGGTCTCTGCTGAAGCCACAGGAGGGAGCTGGACTCCAACAAGCACCACCAGCCTCCCACCCAGGTTGGATGTGAAAGAAGGACACTCCAGCAGGGAGAATCAAAGGCTGCTTTTGTCAGAAATACAGCCATAAGGACCATGGAAGCATGGGCTAGACTTACTTTGTCCAACACTGACTCCTCTGCACTCTGCACCATTGCACAGCACAGAGAAGGCATCCAACATGTATTTGTCACATCAAGGAAAGAGGGTGCCTGGATGAGGGGTGGAGTCTCTGAGGTAAGTTAATGCACTCAGCTGACAACTGAAAGATTGGAGGTTCCAGGCACCTCAGAGTAAAGCCTGACAATCTACTTCCAAAAAGTCAGCCACTGAAAACCCTGTGGAACATAGCTCCACTCTGACACACCTAGGGTCACCATGAGTCAGTCAACTTGACAGCAACTAGTCTATGAGTGTAAAGGGTCCAGGAAATATCCTTCACTGGCTTGTCAAAATATAGGATTCTCACCATCAAAACTGCTCAGCTGGTTCAAACGATTTCTAGAAAGAGCTCAGCCAAACGGGACCTGGGCAACCTCATTTTGAAAATAACGATGATGATAATGAAAAACATATTTATATTATAGTAGAATCCCTCCTATCTAGTGTAATCAATTTCTTATCCAGGACAAATTCCCTCAACTTGGTTAATTGAAAAAGGGGAAAAATGAAAAGTGATACACATACCCTTTCACCTTTTCCTGAAAACCTCACTGGACACTCATTTGCTAATCTTCTTTTCCTTGGAAGATCCTTGTTGGTTCTCTTGCATAAACCCCACCCAGAAAGCACTTTTCACAATGTCTAGTCTTAGTTAAGGAGCTCTGGTAGCATAGTGCCTAAGGCACTTGACTGCTCACCAGAAGGCTGGCGGTTCAAACCCACCAGCCACTCCTCGGAAGGAAGGTTGGGCAATCCTACTTCCGTAGTGATACTGCCTCGGAAACCCAAGGAGGGGTCGCTAGGAGTCGGGGCCGACTCGACGGCACATGACAACAACAACAGTCTTAGTTAATCCTTTGAAGTAGGAAAAACTTAAAGAAATTTATCCTTTGTGAAGCCATCTAAGTAAAAATGTTGATCCACCTGTAGTGGATTGAATTTGGTCCCACCAAAAGATATATCCAAATCCTAACCCTGCCCCTCTCCCCTCCCTCCAGCTGCCTCATACCTGTGAACATGGTTTCGTTGGGAAATAAGGTCTTTGCAGATACAATTAAGTGAATAACAAGATGAGGTCATTTGGATTTAGGGTAAGCCCTAAATCCAATGACTGGTATCTTAGAAAGGACAGGGAAATGTGACACAGAGACAGAAAGGGAAAGGCTGTGTGAAGACAGGCAGAGATTGGAGGGTGACCACGAGCCAAGGAATGCTAACAACTACCAGAAACTAGCATGGAATGGATTCTCCTTCAGAACCTCCAGGAGGAACTAACTCTGCTGACACCTTGATTTCAGACTTCTGGCTTCAGAATTGTCAAAAAAATAAATTTGTGTTGTTTTGGGTCATAAAGTTTGTGGTAATTTATCATGACAGCCTAGGAAGCTAGTATAACTCCTCAATTATTTACAATTAAATCTCTCACACCTAATTCCATAATAATTTGTTAGTGGCTCACTTTTATCAAGTCAGCTTAGTTCTAGACCAACAGCACTCATGCATGCTGTAGCAAACAGAGATGGATGTGTGGTGAGCACTCCATGGTCAGTCAATGGCAAAAGCCACTCTGGAGAATGACCACTTGTCTAGCTGAGATGTCCTCATACTCCCTCCCAAAAGAAATCTGCATATACCATCTAAGTCAAAGAATTTTAAACACACTTTGCAAATCAATCTAGATATGTTCACATGGTGTGGTAATTAAGAAAAATCTAATTTATATAAAATGTTGACAAAAACAGTAGCTACCATTTTTGAATGCCAACTGGGTACCAGGAACATCACACTACTCTTATATTTGCTCTGTAAGCAGGGATTAGTACTCCACTTTAACAGAAGGATAGACAAGCAGGGAATGGCAAAACAGGATTCATATCTACAGCCTGAGTGGTTCCAAAGCCCATGCTCTTTCTGCCTGACCACAAACAAAAACCCATTGCCATGAGTTAATTCTGGCTCATAGTTACCCTATAGGGCAGAGTAAAGCTGCTCCATAGGACTTCCAAGGCTATAATCTTTACAGAAGCAGACTGCCACAGTTTGAACCACCAACCCTTTGGTTAGCAGCTGAGCACCTAACCACTGGGCCAGAGGGCTCCACACTGCCTTCTAATTCATCATTCATGCCATGGTTGGACTGGTCTGTCATGTGGAACAAACTAAGAACAGCTACCATTTTGGGTAGCTCTGGTGGCATAGTGCCTAAGGCACTTGACTGCTAACCAGAAGCCTGGTGGTTCAAACCCACCAGCCATTCCTTGGAAGGAAGTTTGGGCAATCTACTTCTATAGTGATACCACCTCGGAAACACAAGGAAGGGTTGCTATGAGTCGGATCCAATTCCATGGTAGTGAGTTTTGAATGAGGGTGGGGAAGGCCAGGAGCAAACTATATTCTCACAGGGACATCAAGGACTGTATCTGATTTTTCTAGTCTCTCATAAAGCCCAGCCAGCCCTGGAGAGGTATACAGCAGGCATCCTATACTGAGGCCTGGGATAGCTATTCATTCAGCAGATGCTCATCTAGCTCCTCTGCTCTCCAGGCTCTGAGCTAAGCTGTGCTCTGAATAGAGTTGATTCACAGGGCACCGGTTAGGGAAACCCCACTCTTAGCCAGCCCTTGTGGAGGATGGAGAGAGTTCAGTGGGCATCTGAGACTACCACAGGGGTAAAGAAGCTTCCAAGGGCCTTACCTGGCTCTGGAGAGCCCTGGGAGTACCCAAGACAGCCCCTCTCTCTGAGCATCAGGGATCCAGCCTTGAAAGCCTGTTCAGTCCACTTAAGGCAGAATCAGAACCTAATACAAGGCCTCCTTGGTGGGTTCTGGGAGCAGGCCCTGGACATGCAGTGCTGGCATAAGACAGCTTATGCCAACATCCTTCTCTCCCTGGGTTTCTCCAGCACCTGTTCCCAGACCAGTTACTCACCTCACTACAGACTCACTGGCCTTCCCTGTTTCCCTTGGATTCATACATCGAGGCCTGGTCTTGCCCTGAAGTCCAGGCCAAAGTGTAACCTGGAGAATGATTTCCAAAAAGCAAGGCCACTCCAGAGCCCAGTTACCAGCCACTGTGGCTGGGAGTATTGAGGGGACTGTTCCCAAAAGGTCAGGCCAACAGCAAAGCCATGATCTTCTTCAAGAAAATGGTTCTGTGACCACCTTCTTTTGCGCAGAAAACATCTATTGGTTTCCAAATGTGGAGAAGACACTGGACAGTGAAGCAGGCTATTAGCCAGGGAGCCAAGTTCACTTGTGGGCTTTGAGCCCCTGCACTACCACATCCCAGCTCTGACATCTGGAGGTCCTGGCCTCTGCACCTCACTTTCCTCCTATACAAAGTGGGAATATTAGGCCAGTCCCAGGGGAGGGGCTGCTCCACTCACCTCTGTTTGTCCCTAGTTCCCGCCTCTGTGCCCTGCCTGCCACCCCCTTTAGTGAGGAACTTCTCTAGGGACCCTAAACATGCCATTTACCACCTCGAGGGGTTCTTCAAATAGTTTAGAGAAGGAGGCTGATCTCCCCATCATGAAGAAGGTGGATTGAACTCTAAGTATGAGGGACCAGCCATGCAGAGAAGGAAATTGCAACAGCCATTGGAGAATGGCCTGAGAGGTTCCTCTTTGTGCACAGTCCAGGCAGAGCTTAGCAACTGATCTGGAAGTCATTTCTAAGTGTAGAGGAGGCAGTATTTATGGCTCTAAGCCCTGCTCACTATTAGAAATAGGCCCTGGATAGGGGTGGGGTCAAAGAGTGCCCTCTGCAGTATCCCATTCCTCAGTGCTTCAACTTGTTGTGTGACCTGAGACAAGCCTCTTCCTCTTTTGTGGCTTCAGTTTCCACATCTGGAGAACAAAGGGAATGGATGATCCCAACACCAGATGGACTTGCCAGCTCCAGAGCCCTCAAACCTCATGTAGTTCATCACGTTGAAATAGCTTCCTTTTCCAACCCAAGTCTCAGCTCCTAACCTGACTCCAAGGTCTCTTAGCACTGAGTGATGACTGACTCTCCTAGATTCTGACCCACAGTTGCTATCAGATATCCTGGTCATGCTGGCCCATCCCAAGCCTCTATCCAGCTTTCTCACCTCAGTGTCTTTACCCTGGTATTCCCTGTGCCTGGGTATTTTTTTCTATCACCTGAAAACAATCTTAATTGTTGCTTCCAATGTCACCTCCTTTCACAATTTCTCAGCTCCACAGTAACTTGGAGAAGGACAATCACCAGCCTTTTGGCCCTCTCCTCACCAGTTCATGAGACTCTGGAGGCAGGGATGAGCATTCACAAAAACAAAATCACTGCCAAGTAATGAGGGTAGGGCCACTCCAAGCCAGGCCTCCAGGCACCCAGACCTCCACTGGCTGACTGCAGAGAGCCTGTCTGGGCTGGAGACTCTCTGAGGAACCAGAAGCAGCAGGAACATTTCTGACATTCCCACTCCAGGCACCTTTCTGAGAGGTAATGAAAAAGGTGGCTATTGTACCTTGACTGTGTCCAGAGGGTGTCCAACAAGGACACTGGCTGCACCTGTAGTAGAAGAAAAACATTTTGTCACTCAGCCCCTGGCCTCCTGGCTTATACCAATTGGCTCTTGGGACAGGACAGAGGACTCACTCTGTCTGTCAGGACACTCACTCACTCTGTCAATGACCAGTTCTTAGAGACCTCCAAAATGCGAGGCAACATTCTAGGTATCAAAGAAAGGCAGAGAAAATCTAGTAAAACCTGGGCCCTGCCCCAGGAAGCAAGCAGCCCAAGAAAGAGAAGTAAAGAGAAAAGTTCAGTTACTTTCAGGTTCCTCAACTTCTCCACACCTACTTTTGTGCATAAGTACCATGTGAAGTGGGCATTACAATAGTGCCTACCTCATTCTTCCATTGTTAGGATGAAATAACTGCTGTAAAGTATCTGATGGAGAGCCTGGCAGGTATAAAATCAACCTCACTGGCTCTGAGTGATTCTGACTCAGAGACCCCCATTGGATTTCCAAGGCTATAAATCTGCCATTTGCATGCGAGTTACAGAGGGTCTCTGTATTAAACAGAGGCAAGCTAATCTAATTCATCCCTCCAGGGCATTTCTCAAGCAAGTTATTCTTAAATTCTGGTTACTCTGCCCTGAAGATGGGAGAGCCTAGCCCTGCAGCCTCCAGTAGTAGCAGAGGGGGAAATTACTGATGTGTGGGAGGGAGTACCAAAGGGGAAGGACCTGTTGTCCTATCTGGTTTGTTGCTTCCCCCCCACCATGCAAATCTCCCAGGGCCTCCTCCCTGCCTAAAATACTAACCAAATCAAACCAAACTCACTGCTGTCCAGTAGATTTCGACTCGTAGCAACCCCTCCTTGGGTTTCCGAGGCAGTATCACTACGGAAGTAGATTGCCCAACCTTCCTTCCGAGAAGTGGCTGGTGAGTTTGAACTGCCAGCCTTCTGGTTAGCAGTCAAATGCCTTAGGCACTACACCACCAGAGCTCCTGCCTAAAATACTAGGTAGCCATAAATAAGCCATCCTTAGAACCTCAGTATTTTTTTCCCTTTTGGAGAGAGGCTGCATTTGCTAACATCCCTATCCCTTTTCTGAGGACTCTCGCCTAAAAAAATATAATAATCATGATAATAATAATTATTATTATTAACAACAAGCAAACTCTCTGAACATCCTCCCCTCCACCACCAAATATCTGAGAAAGAGGGAGGGTTAAATAGATGTATTGGAAAGAGAAGAATGGAAAAGCAAGAAAATGAATGCAACTCCAGCCCAAGCAAACCCACCCCAGGTTTAGGCCAACAGGGAGGGGCCTCAGAGGAAGGCAATGGCTGATAGCGGCTAAACAAAAGGGAGAAGGAGTTTCTCCCAGCTAGCAGTCTGCCAACACTCCCAGCTCTGTGTACTGTGCTCCTTCCCGTCGGGGCACTCCCTCGGGGCCCCACCACCACCCCAAGCCCAGAGGCCAGCAGCCAAGAACCACCAGTATACAGAAGTTTCTGCCAACCACGTTCCCAAATTCAGGTGCGCACCCGGTCACCAAAGGGTGTGTGCCAGCCTGGACGCTCCATTGGCTGTCGGCTCTGACAGGCGGTTTAACCATTACCAGATCAAGTTCCACGGGTCCTAACTTTGGGGCAAATAGGAAACTCTCAGTGAATCGCTGTTAGGTTCTCGGAGTTTACCTCCCGCTGCATGAGAGAAAATCACCCTAGAGGACGCGCAGTGCGAAGGGACTCCTGCAGCAGGCGGCGCGCACCCCGCGGCGCGTGGTGGAAGCGCACTGGCTGCAAAATTTAAAACAGAGCGCTGTGTGCAAAATCTGTGGGCACTGGTTTCAGGTTCGGTCCCTCTGTCTCTCTGGCCCGGGGGATTCCTTAAGCACACTCACCTCCGATCCAGCCCGCCGCAAAGTCTTCCAGCTGGAAGCTGCCCATGGCTGGTGCCTCGTGGTGCCTTGCCCTCCGGGAGCAGGTTCTGTGCCCACTCAGCGTCTGCCGAGCATGGTCCGCAAGACCTAGCGCTCCAAGACGAAAAGCGGGAACGGGAGCACACTGCAGGTTCTGCTCCAAACCTAGTCTCCCAGTCAAGCTGCTGTGCTCACCTCTCCAAGTGCCCGCGGGCCTCTGACATCACGCCCCCAGTGGACCTTAAAGGCACAGCACGCAGGCCGGGCGAGAGGCAATACACCCTAGTTCGAGAGAGTTAGGACCACAGAGTGGAATTCCCTTAGCCCTCCACCTTGTTTTCTTCTCACTCGACCATTGTTGAGCCTCAGCGAATGTGTGGCCAAAGAGCCAAGCTGTGCCTGTAATTGCTCACATTACGTCCCACACTGGAAAGGATTTCAGAGACATTTTTGCAAAGTGCATTTTAAGAAGAAGGGAGGGAGGCTTTGCCTAAGGTCCGATAGTGTTTCATTAGAAACTCTGAGCTCTTTCTGTGATGTGATTATTTACCTGTGAAGATAACACCCAAGCTTAAGGTTAAACAGCACTGAAATAATTCTAGCTCAATGTCTGACTAAATCAGAAGTGCTTTCTGCTTGAAAGCCCTGGACAGTTTCCATACAAACTACGTTCCACCCACCACCACCACCCCGCCATTTCTAGTCCATTCTGATTCATATCAATGGTGTAGGACAGAGTATAACTGCCCTATAAAGTTTCCAAAGTTGTAAATCTTTATAAAGCAGACTACCACATCTTTCTCCTGCAGTGACTGGTGGATTGGTATCTCAGACTTTTGGGTGATCAGTCCAGCACCTTAATCAATGCACCACAGGGACTCCTAAAATACGCACGATTTTCCATACTAGTTTTACAGTTTAGGGACTCTTTTGCCACCCCCAATTTATCCATAGCCCCCAGGTTAAGAACTCCATTAATGAATAATTGAAATGTGAGGAAAGCACCTAAAGCCCAGGGTCAAGCTGGATGTCAGCTGTAAGTAAGTATTAGCTATTAATAATATCCAACATTTTCTGAGTATTTAATGTCACTCATTGTGTTCAATATTTGTAATCCATGTTTATATGTTATGGCAGTATGTATAATATACAATGTAGACCTTACCCTTTTAGAGAACTGGCCCAATTTAGGAAATGAATGCTGTCACATCTGAGTTACAGCTTTAGTTAAGGGTAGGTTTGGGCTTCTGAGTCCCATGCTTATTCCCAAAGACCTGGCTCTCACACTGGATGGCCAAGGGGAGACCTAGCCCAGGGTCCAAGGTCCTGCCAAAACATCTCCTACTGAGGGGATACAACTTCCTACTGAGAGCACCCCTGGCTAGATGGAAATTTCCAGAGCCCTGAAAACTCCCAGCCCTTCCCTTGCCAAGTCTCCAGGAGGGTTGTGGCGAGGCTGGGAATTTCTTTTGAGAGTTGCCTAGGAGGGAGGTCTGGGGTGAGCAAGTAGTACACTCTGCCTCTGGAAGGCTCACACTCCTTGCAGCTGCCAGAAGCAACTGGTTCCCCCTCCACACTGGGGCTTTTGGGGGCAACCCTCCCTCCTCTGCAGATACCACCCTTGCCAGTTGCCGTCAAGTGTCAAACTCCGACTCATGGCAACTCCTTGTGTGTCAGAGTAGAACTGTGCTATATAGGGTTTTCAGTGGCTGATTTTTTTCAGCCCTATTCTCCTAGTTTGGCTGAAATACTTCTTACCCCACCACCTCTAACACACACCCTTTTTCCCTCTACCCACATGCCCCAGACCAGCAAACAATGCTGGAGGTGTCTTACCCTGAGAGGCTACAAGCCAGAGTCTATGCAAAGAGCTTTATGTATAAGGTCCCACCTATTCCCTACAGTAGTACTTGTGAGCAGGCACAGTTCTCATCCCCACTGTGAGGGTCAGTTATACTTGTCAATTTGGTTGGAGTATGTTGTTGTTAGGTACCTTTCAGTTGATTCTGACTCATAACAAAAACAAATACTACCGAGTCCTGCACCATCCTCACGATCATTGCTGTGTTTGAGCCCATTGTTCCAGCCATTGTGTCAATCCATCTCACTGAGCTTCCTTTTTCCTCATTAAGGGCCTTCCCCTTTTTTGCCAACCCTTTACTTTACAAAGCATGATGTCCTTCTCCAGGGACTAATCCTTCCTGATAACGTGTCCAAAGTACGTGAAATGAAGTCACCATCCTCACTTCTTTTGATGAGTAAGAATGTGTACTCTGTTAAAATGAAAGCAAAAAGAGTCGTTAAATGTTCGAGACAGCTCAAACTGGGGACTCATTTGATCTCACTAAGTGAAATCAAACACTCCAAAATGGTGGAGTAACAAATGCATAAATAATTTTTTGTAATTTTTATTGTGATTTGGGTGAAAGTTTATAGAGCAAATTCATTTTCCGTACAGCAGTTCATACACATTTTGTTCCATGACATTGACTGCAATTCCCCATAATTTAACAGCTCTCTTCATACTCCCTCCTTGTACTTATCTCTTCCCTGTGTCCTTCTTTCCTGTACATTCCTGCCCCCTGAGCTTCTCCCTGTGCAAATACTTCCTTTCTGTTCTACCATGATTGGTTGTTGTAAGAGTGTACCTACCTGATATAAATTGTCACCCTATATACCTGTCTGTTGTTTGACTGGAAACCATAGGAGTGAGTTCAATTAGTCTCAAGTGTCTTATCAGGCCCTATCAGCTCAGTAAACCTAGTCTTTTTTATGATTTGAGTCTGTTCCCCATTGTTCTCCCACTCTATCTAGGATCTCCTGCACTGTTTTCTTTCCATGTGGTTGGTAGTGGTAGCTGGGTACCATCTAGATCTTCTGGTTTCATAGTCATACAGGCTGAGGTTCCCATGGGCCACTAGTCCCTTGGACTAATTATTCCCATGTGTCTTTGGTTTCCTTCATTCCTCTATGCTCTGGACAAGAAGAGACCCATTATTGCATCTAGATGGCCACTTGGATGCTTTTAAGACTCCATTCGCTACTCATCAAAGTAGAACGTAGAAAAAATTATTTGTGTAGTGTATTATGTCAATTGAGCTTGATGTCCCCTGAGATCATGGTCCTGAGACCACAGGTCCAATAATTCATTCCATCAAGGTAGTTGACTGTGCCTTAGAAGTTACCATAACTTTACACCCAGTAAGTTCTAGTTACATTACAGCACATGCAAATACGTATGTAGAAATATCATCTGCCAACCTTATATAGGGAGCTCTGGTAGTGTAGTGCCTAAGGCATTTGACTGCTAACCAGAAGGCTGGAGATTCAAACCCACCAGACACTCCTCAGTGGGAAGACTAGCAATCTACTTCTGTAGAGATGTTGTTGTTGTTGTTAAGTGCCATCGAGTCATTGCCAACTCATAGCCACCCCATGCACAACAGAACGAAACACTGCCCAATCCCGCACCAGCCCCACAATCCCTGTTATACTTGAGCCCATCATTGCAGCCACAATGTCAATCCATCTCGTTGAAGGCCTCTCCCTCTTTCGTTGACCCTCCACCCTACCAAGCATGACATCCTTCTCCAGGGAATGGTCCCTTCTTACAACATGACCAAAATAGGTGAGACGAAGTCT